TATAACCTTATATATCTCATCCTTATGTTTGGCAAATACAGCACTTCGTATACTACTAGCACTGGCCTGACAAATTTCTACTATTATAAATTACAAACATTTCGCGTTGTTTGCGGTTTTAAACCACTAAAACGATATATTTGGGTGAAATTAAACACAAATTTCCCTAAACAAACCGTATACTATCACATGTGCGCATTAACAAATTGTTGGCATTCCACTTTTTGCATTGCTCTACTTTCAAACTATTTACCCTTTGTATCACACTGAATATCTTCAATTTTAAATTGTTGGAAATTCAGGCTCCGATGAATCCAAAGTTGATATTGCTGTTTGCAATGGCAAAAGGCCATTAAGCCATCTACAAAACCCCTGTCCAGCTAGCTCAATTGAATAAACTTGATTGCAAATTTCTTAATGCACGTCCGGTCTCCGCTACAGTGAATGAAAATCTCGATAAAGACTTAATTTTATTAATTTAGGAATCTCAGCATTATTTAAACCAATTTTGGGGTACGAATATCAAACTTAACATGAAAACTGTAATCCTGGTTCCATTAAACATAAAATTGTTCATTGACAATTAAAATAAATTTTGTCGGGCTACACACAAATTGACAAAACTGAAAGAGAAAGAGGCTCTCAGGGCCTGTTTACAGATACTACGCATGCAAGCGATCGATAGTCATTTAAGGAAATTTGACAGTTTTTAATAATCCAAAAACTGGTCGTTGGCTGCGATATTCTGTCGCACAAAAAACTAAAAACACTTGCTGACAGCTTCAAAAGCTCTTTTCCATTACACTTAATCGTGATGTTCTTCAAGAATTGGCTTTAGCGAATTTGATAATTAAGTTTATGGCTTTACGGATTGTGGAACACTTTTATTTTGAACAACAAGAGAACCTTGTAGAAAGGCTCGCTGGTCGACACACAATACATTCGAACTGTTATTTTTCAGATGCGGATAAAGTGTTTAAAATTTCTCACAAACTCGATTAATTTGCACTAACTTTCTGTCTTCTATAAACAAATTCACTATCAAAAAGACGAACGCCGTCTTAACATGCAACAGGCTGTATGCCCAAAGGTGACGGTAACGTGCACTAACAGTGTTGGACTGCCACAGAAAGGCCTCCGATATACGGCAAAACGCAACGATAAAAAGCATCCTTGTTCGTTGTTCTCGTATTTACAGCATCTCCTCCACGTTAAAAATCTCCTGTACGATTTCGTAAACAAACAGCTAATCAGAACCAAATTTGAATAACACCAGCTTCGAAATAAACTGCACATCTGTTGCTTTCTTATCGGAAAAAAGCTCTCGAAAACAATTAAACTTTACCTTACGCAACCCTATCACAAATGTTCTTATCGCAAGGACCAGATAAAACCTTTAATACAACGCGCAAATAGGACCAAATGTTTCTACCTTGTAACATGTAATTGCATTTTAAACAAATTACAAGGTGATCAATTCTAACAAAACTAGGTGCCGAGCCCAACCAAAATGTCTGCGTGACGTTGTTCACACAACCATATACACTGGGGATCTCGGAAACCATAGAAGATTCGACGTGTTTACATAAGGGAAAAAATTGCGCAATTAAACAGTTATCGTGCTTTAAAGAAAACCAGAAAATTCCGAATATCTGAAGATATTCCAGCAACATCGCAATTTGCCCATTTTGTTTTTTTTCTATTTGAGGAGATACAGAAAAATAAAAAAACACTTTTTCATTGACACTTTTTGAGCATGAGATTTTTAAACAACGTTTCGTTTGGCAGAAATCATCAACTTAATTTTTTTATATGGCTCGTAAAAAAACGTACATACTGTGTTGAGTAGCATTTTTTATTACGAAACAAAAAAACAAAAGTTGGAAACTATTGGCTTCAACGGGATGGGACACAACGCCCTAATCATACAAAAAATAAAGTTGATGATGGTTTCTTCGAAACGAAACGTTGTTTTAAAAACCTCTCAAATCTGTATTGTGCAGCTCAAGAAGGTGCAGTGGGGAAATGTGTGAAAGTGAAATGAAAGATTAGTCATCGGCGATAAGAAATGAAGGCGGATGTGGCGCATTCTTTCCGGGAAATATGACGAGTTTGTTCTTGAAAATTCGGAAGCGTTCAGGAGCAATCTGAGAACATTACTATTATTGGTTGGTACATAAGCAAATCAAATTGTGTTTCGAGTTAGTTCCAACATCAGTGCGATCGTCTTATGTTATCAATTGTGTGTGATAAATATTACTAATAATTTAATCTATTTCAAGACTGTTATAAATGTATAGTTAATTAAGTGTAAATAAATAAATCACGTAATTAAATTTACATTACAATATTTTATCAATGTTGAGTATCCTTTTGAATTGTGACCTTTAACTCAACTAAATTAGAAGTTCTGGACAGGTGGACTATCTGGAAAGTGAAAGAATGCAATGGACCAAAAACATGTAGTTAAATACCGACAAGAGTAATTTTGTTCTTTCATAATTAAGTTTGCTGCTCCTTGGCTCTTGAATGATTTGTACATGGTGTAACGTATAAGCATGTATAACTAAAACAAAAGCTTTTTCATATTTTTACATGTACAAGGTGTCCTTAAAGATATGCTAATATTTAAGGGGGCGATTCTTGGACCCGTTTTTAAAAAAACTTTCTATTCGTTTTAATTTTTGAGATACAGGATGGTAAAGTTTAACAAAAATCTCCTTTTTAATAATAACAGAGATAATATTGTAGGCATCTTTATGAAGTTTGGTACATGTCTTCTAAGCATTAAGTTTTTATTTTCTCTACCAGTGGCGTCCGTACGGCTCTTGCATTTAATTTTAGAGAAAAAATACTACGCCACCGCTTTCTCTTAAAATAAAAATTATTTTTTAAATCCTCATTCATTCTTGAGCAAACTTGATCTTCTGGTTTTTCTTTGTCCGACGCATGGTTTTCGCTTAAAAAATAAAAATCGTTTTAAATGAACGATTTTCATTTTTGCATCCTGTCAAACAACGCGCGGTAAAAAAGAACAATCATTTAGTTTCAAACAAAGAATACTCTCATTGTCTCGGTGCGTTCAAACGCATCATATTTCGCGAAGAAGCACTTTTGAATTACTTTAATTAAAATAAGTATATGGTGTAGAAACGAGGCTTTCCCTCTTTGTAAAAGATCAATACATACATTCGGTGCTAATTTAAAAGTTGCAAACATTAAAGAAAATTTCCTGGGCAGTAAAAACTATAAACCCCAACGTTTCGCTATATTAGAAATTTTCCCGGTTGTCTACAAAATTTAAGGATATTTAAAAACAATACTCGTCACCTTTGGTTCAATTTTACCGTAAAGCTGTCTATCCGCAATGCATCGGCAAATGTAAATTTGACAGTATACAACGAGAAAAGGTATTGAGACAATTTTATTTCTATAATCGTTGTGTAAATCTAACTTAGATTTGGAAAGACTTCGCTTGAGCTAATCTTAAGGGAAAAAATTGAAAAGTAGTGGAGCTGGTTTGAGTTGGATTTTAAGAATATATTTTCGTAAATGTCACGTTGGAATTGTTTTTATTTGTTAACCAGAAAATTGCACTCCAAATTTATAGATTCAAGTACATATAAAGAGAAAGGATCTGTTTTTCTTTCAATAGTTGATTTTTATGCTATTTCCTGCTAACCGGGAAATTATTTTAGATTTTCATTGTTAAAATCCGGATAAGGTACATAGGTAAAGAACGTACCAAGAATTTTAACGCCATGAAATAGGAAAGCCCCTTTCAGACAGAATTTAAAAGCTTCTAAAGATTTTAGAGATTCTTTAAGGCTGACCCTAAATGCCTATATGCCTATTGCTCTCCGACCTCATAGCTCTTATAATTCTCGAGATAGCAATAGTGGACAAAATAAAATGTACACCTTGTATAATATACTACTGCGTGTATCAATAACAACCATGCGACTGTGTAGTATTGAAATTTCGATGGAGAGGCTATGAAGCAACAATTATCTCTCAAAGCTAAACATAATTATGATAAACAGTATAATGACAAACAAGTTGTAAATCAGCATATACATGATGAAAGCGCATTTTTGGTAATACAGATCAGTATTTTATTAGCAAAGATTAAAATTATCGATCTCGGGAGTAATCTAACTCAAGATAAACTAGAGCCTGCAGATCTACACTATCGCAGAAAGCCAAAATTTAAAGTTTCTAGCTATTGTAACTGCTGAGATCCCAGCCGTACAGCCAGCTAGCCAGACAGCCAGCCATATCAAATATAATAGCGTATTTTTTTTTCAAAAGTGTGGTACACGAACCTGGATGTAACCAATCATTTCGGCTATGTGTCTCAGTGCCGTCTATGTGTCTCAGTAATACAGCGTTGGGCTACATAGTCGGAAGGTCAGGTGTTCGAACCTGGGTTGAGGTAAGAATTTTTTTATCTGTGGCAGAGATGGGAGTTTCCTAATTCGTAAGGTTAATACCGGAGTAGTATAGAACAACTTAAGACCTTCTGCAGGGGCACCTGTAAAAAGCATTATGCGGATCACTCTGTAATTGGGCACTAACCTGTTCGGGGCCCAGAACAAAAGTGGGACAATAAATAAAAACATAAGAAGTTGTCGAACACTTCATTGTTTGCTGCTATTTTTACTTTTTATCCCACCCTAGAAGAGACGACTACTAAAAACTTTGCTTTCGTTCAAAGGTTAATTACATTCAACCTCGTAATTCTATTATAAGCAGTTGAAATGACCACCAAGAACTTGAGAATCAACCAAAATTGTTTATTTTAATGTTTTAAGGGATGAATACAATCCGTTGTACCCTTGATTTGCAGACGAGGATAACATTCGAATAATTATTAATTGTAATACGTGATTCCTATCGTTTGACACTATTAGAAATAGTTAAAAAAATTATTTTTTTATGCTTTCAAGGAAGATTTCAACAAAGACATAATATGTAAGTCAACCCTTTATTCCTTCTAGACCAGCGGAGGATGGATTTCCTGCATTTACTTACGAAAACGTTATCGATAGAAGTGATATCTGAAAATTCTTCCTTTCTGAGGCACGCGGCTGCGGTAGATGCTAAATTGAGAACAATCTGGTGGTTTTTGAAACCTGGTCTTTGCTTAACTGCATTTAGCGTTACTCGCTTGGTCAATATAACTTCGACAAAACGACGATAAAAATCGACAGTAGAGCGTGTCAGAAAAATTAGGAATTAATTACTGGGCACATATCAATCATTCACTGTCACTTACTTTACTATTTCCAACACAAAACGCGAACTATTCAATGATGTAAGTATAATCGTGTTACAGCTATAATTTTCTTAATTAAAAGCATAATTTGATTCTAATAGTTAATTAAAGGGATCCACTTTAGGTTACCTAAAACTCATTACCTTAATCGCCGTTTTACGTGACTTCTATTGTTTTGCGAATAATAGATCAGCAGCACGACTAAAACGAATTAAAGCGATGCTTTTAGTTTTACATCTGACCGCTATAGTCCTTCGTTCAGTGTGGTTTTCATTGCGTTGTCTTATCAAGATGTATGGAATGCTTCTTCAAAGTGTGCATCACTTTATACAGGTACTGTATGTACTTGCAAAACATTTTTATCATGTAGTACAACTAGGCTGAATATGGTGAAGAGGCATGGAAGGAAATAGTGAAACTGGCAGGGTGTAAGCATTTAACGTTTAACACGCATCAAGTTTATCCAGACGACACCATGGCTAAACTGGCGGAAGCTTGTGCACACGTAACTTCTGCTCACGTTGATGAGATTATGGAGTTTTTTGGGAAATGTTTCGTACGATTCTTTAGCAATTTCGGGTAAGTGGATGATCCCCTGACCCCTTGTGATTCAATAAACATTTTCAGCTACGATGTCCCAATTCGTGCAACCGGTCGGTACTTTACAGACTTTCTGCAAAATGTAGACAATATTCATTCTCAGTTCTGCTTCACGTATCCCAAAATGAGAAGCCCCTCCATCTATTTAACGGGAATCGACGTGAAAGGTTGCGATATGGTGTACAGAAGTGATCGAAAAGGATTTATTTGCTATATAATCGGTATCCAAGTATATAACTGGCGTACGCCACTATTCTAACCCTATATCTCCCAAATAGGACTATTAACACAAATCTCCAAGGACTTTTTTAACTTAACAGCCTTCAAACTGACAGTAGTCGATAACAGCTGCTCTGCAGGTGCTAATAGGCGAAGTAATGTCGTAAAGTTCCGGATAGACTTTGACAACACAAATTATGCAAGTATTTTTCTCTATGCAATTTATTTAAAACGCGAGCACTTTTAAACCCCTTGCGTTGTATAGATGCAAGCAGAAGTTTTGAGGCACCGCCCGAAGAAAATTGAAAATCTACCATCCGTTCCCTGCTACCACTTGTTAGAACTGTTTCCTTTCGCGATTATGATCGATCCTTCGATGGTTATGGTGGGCGTCGGTCAAAAGCTTGTGGAAATTTGTAGCGGGCAAGACATCTTGCTGGGTCAATCGGTTAATGATCATTTCTCACTTCGACGACCTAAGGGAATCTCAATTACTTGGAAAAATGTATGTAGTTACTACTTTGGTACTTTCCAATGCGAGATGTTTTAGTTAATATATTTGGGGAACATAATGTTTGAGCTTGAACTACTTAGGAAAAAAGAGGTGAAGGAGAAAGACGATCCTGCAACAAGCGCATCTGAATCGACAATGAAAAATATACTACTTAAAGGGCAAATGAAGTACATAGCAGATGTTAATGGGGTAATTTTTCTTTGCAGTCCCATGTAAGTTACACATTCGCTATGTTGTATACACAGTGAATTTTGGTTGCAGTATTAACGACCTTGACGAATTGACAGAGCGAGGAATCTTTTTAAATGATTTGAACCAACATGGTTTGGGTAAGGAGATGGTTATGGCAGGCTGGCAGCACAATTCCAAGTTAGTTCGTTGTCTTGCCTTCTATTTTCTACATTTTTGTTTATCGTGTGCAGATTAGAAGTGTTGTTTGACGATGCAGAACAGAGGTCTCTTGATTTGGAACAGAGCTACGAGCTATTAGATAAGTGGAAGAAGCGAAGTGACGAGCTGTTATATTCGATGATTCCGCAAACAGTTGCTGATCGCCTCAGGGGCGGTAATTCAAGGTTGAGTACGTGTGAGGTACAGTTAGTTAGAGTAAAGCAAAACCTATTTACTAAGTTTTAGACCTTCGAAAGTGTCACAATTCTGTTTTGCGAGTTGGTTGGATTACACTCATCAACGGTTGAAGAAGCGTTATCTGTTGTGAACTGTATGAATACGGTTTTTTCGTGTTTCGACGAAATGATGGATAAATTCCAAGTATATAAGGTGGAAACTGTTGGTTACGTTTATATGGTGGCTGGAGGTGCCCCAGAAAGGACCAACGTCCACGCGCAAAGAATAGCCGACTTAGCTATCTCTATGGTCGATGAAGTTAAAGAACTGAAGTATAAAGATCGCGATAAAGTAGACATCAGAATCGGTATCAAAGATTTTTGATTTCAGTAATAGTGTCATATGTGTTTAAGGAATTCATTCAGGGCCTGCAGTTGCGGGCGTTGTGGGAATAAAAGTTCCGCGCTATTGCTTTTTCGGGGATACTGTTAACACTGCATCAAGAATGCAGTCTACAAGTACAGTAAGAATTAAGGTAATAAGAGAAGGATTAAGCTTAAGGGTTACCATTTTTAGCCAGGTAACGTGAACATTTCGATTGACACGAAGAACTTGCTTCCACAACATCTCTATCAATTCCGATCACGTGGTTTAGTTAAAGTGAAGGTATAAGGCATAATTAAAAACACTTCATAATTATTGTCAAGCGTCATTGCAGGGAAAAGGACAAATGGAGACTTTTTTCTTGACTAAGAGATACTAGACCGAGATCTTAAAATATCTAGTAATACGAAGACTAACAATGAAAGTAGTAACTTACAAGACCATGTATTTATAAAATAGAACGTTTGTAGTATGTGAACATTTCTTAGTTCTAGAAGCTTACTTAACTCAGTATTAATTATTTCCATTGCTACTGCACGTTATCAGGTGGAAATGAAAGGTATATATTTTGCGTGTCATCGGCACAGAAATGAGATTTGCACATCTTGACAGCGTCAATGAAATCAGTATACATTATGTATAATAATGGCCCTAATATTGATCCCTGGGGCACCCCATCGGTTAATGATCCAAAAGATTATAATTATATTATATTTGACTTGTTGAATCCTATTAGTGAGAAAGCTGCCGACAAATTGCGCTGCATTCGCACTAAAACCTTAGAATAATATACTGCTGTGGCCCCACGTTGGGCGCCAATTAAAAATGCTGTGTGCACCGGTCCGTAGGCCAAAAAGACCGTACACAAAACACCTAAACAAACCTAGCTAGCTCAAACCTTTATCTTGCTCGGAACAAAGCTTCTCCCCAGCACAAAGGAGGAATTCGACTCTTTTCTCAGTTAAACCATTAACTTCTACCAGATAGTGGGTTAGACCAAATACCTTAAATTCCAAATCGATCTTAAGAATTTTGATTAAATAAAATGGAGCTTGGGCAATTATCCAAAGAAAACAGTAAATTAAAGGAAATGAAATCGTTCGAACGACATACACAGCAATTATTGTGAAAATTACACATTTCAAATTTAATTGTCACACACACACAATGAAAAATATTACAAGAGACACAAACAATTATTACAAAGAAAAAAAAACTAAAATTAAAAATTAATTTTACTTACATTCGGTACATGTCCAAAACTGCTAATCCAAATACGTTACACACAAAAAAAACAACAAAATTTCAAAATTACACAAAAAAACACTCAAATCGGCGCCGACCACAGCTTAGTGACGCACTTTACTGAAGGTCCAAACTTCCAAAACTGCCGCCACACAAACCTGCCGCAACTCGGCTTGCCACTCCGTAAAACGGAAACTCCACCAACTTCCAAAACTGGCTGGCCTCTACACAATCCAAACTACTGCGGTAACTCGCCGAAGCGAAATAAACAATCTTCACTCAACTCAAAAACTGCCCTAACTGGCAACAAAACTGACGATTAAAACTTCACAACTCCAATCAAATTTCAAACTTCTGCAGACGTGGATCTGCTCTCAACTTGGCAAAAGGCGATTTAAATTTCAAACAAACGTAGTTCTGCGTTGACCGTGGCAAAAAGCCCTTCCACTTCTCAGTCCGTTCTATTTAAGGTGGAAACCCTTCTTCCAAATTACAAATTAAAACAGCCAATGATAAGCAGTTGACAACAGAAAATTTCCCCCCTAACGCACGTTAAACCAGAGGTAGAAATTATTTTTATAATCAATTTTTAACCGACATTAAGAGATAACACAAAGCTTAAAATTCTAGGAAAAATAGAATTTTCTGTCTTTTAAATACAAAGAAAAAGCGATAAATAACATCCACCTGTCAATTAAATTAAGCGTTTACAATGATAACAGAATAAAAGCGATATAAAATTCTCAGAAATCTACGTTAAATAAAATCAAAAATGAACTTAAAAAATGTACACAAAAACAAACCTTGACCTCTTTCTCCTAACAATAATTTCTGTGGAAGTACCTACTTAACCAACGACACAAACAAAAAATTTAGATTAAGAAAATTAATTACATAGAAAATAGGAAACCGCCCTTGTCCATCCTAGTTAAGAATTCCAAAATTTCGTCCTGCCAGACGAAATAACACAGCAATACAAAGCTAAAACCAAAGTAATGCAACTTAGCTAATAATAGCTGGTGGCTTTGAATATAAATATTTTATATTCAAAGGCGAAGGTCAATCAAAAATTTTATTTTTTCGATAAAGTACCTAAAAAAATTGTGTGATTGTGGAAGAGGTCTTAACCTGTGCCTCAGTCCAAAAATTAGCCGCCTGTGCGATTGAGTTTCTCTCAAAAAAAATTCCGAAAAACTGTCAAATTCGGACGAAGAAAATTTATAAGAGCGAAACCGTTAAAGTTAGGGGTACCTACAACATGCTACATAAAAAATAGGTACTTTGCAAGTACACTCCAAATCAGTAATAAAATATGGGGTATTCCATTTAAAAAATGCAAGTTTGATACGCCACTGGAATACAGAACGCCCCTGTTGATCAAAAAAATTTTAGAAACATGCCGGCGTGTACGATTTTTCTGTAAGACTTTTTTCGGTATCTTCTATGGTAAAGAAGTTATGGTACGAGGGATCTTAGGTGCTACACCCTGTATATAATGGAAGTGTGAAGTAAAGAGGAAATATAGGAAATATTTGGGATATATAAAGAAGTATACGAGGAAGTAGGGGAGTCATATCATCATAAAGAGAAGTACAGGGAAGTCTATGACCATAAGGGGAAATACGAGGAAATATTAGTGATTTACGGTGAAGTACGAGGAATTATTTGAACATTGCGGAAATAGGTATTCAAAATTACTAGATGCAGTGGTTTACACCTCGCTTTTTTTGAGATAAAGGTCCTGCTTTACATGATAAGTTAAACTTGTTTGGGAAGACACTGCAGAACCTCGACTTCTTACAGCTTGAAAACTTTCTACTTCACGTATTTCTAGGTGCAAAATTAAAAAATTTCAATCTCAACCTAATACAATCGTTACAAATTATTGTTCGAGAAGAAAATCGTCATATTTAGAACGCGCATATTTTTCCACATATGGGAGAACTAATTATGGATTTGAAAATTTTCATAAAGGGTCGACCTATGCCAGTAGGTAATAGGAATTAAAGGTAATGCTATTATACTTGCACAAAACTCAGGTGGACAAAAACAATAAAATGTAGATTATTTTTCACATGTGAATTGCATTTCGGGGGAATGGTTTTTTTCTCGATTTTCTAAAGGCAAAGAAAGTCATATACCACAATAAAAGTAACTTTCACCATAGTGAAATCCTATTCGTTACACTATTCCCCCACCCTTAATTATGTATGTGAAAAATGAACAACTAAAGCATCTTGTATTTACGACACAGTAATAAGCGATTTGAAAATTTATTCCTTCATTTTTTAAACGGCGGCGCTGCTACTGTATCGGACGTGTAATTAAACTTTTCAGCTTTCCGTTTTGTTTTTTATACTAAATTCCTAATCGACCTGAAAACACACATTAATTCCGATCCGGGATCTAACGAAGCTTCAAAATGTGTAACGCAGCTTTTGTTATCGTACACGTGCAGGTATTGTGTAATTTACTGTCGCACAGAAATTAGATAAAAGTACAAAGCAAACTTTGATAGGGTTGATATTTTATGTGTATGCTAACATATGTTGGTTTAATGCCAAAACCTTTTTCTTTTAATATTTTGCGGGTATTTTAGCGTGCAGCTTTTCGATTGGGAAAACTTTTTTGGTCGAACATCTAACTATTCAGCCATTTGCTAGTAGGCACTGTCTGCTAATCTGCTCTTTCATTCGAGTTCTGAAAGTTTAATAGGGCTTTATTGATTGTACGCTTTGAAATTATTCTTTTCGTCCTTCCATTATGATTTACAACGTGATTAAGACCTAATAAATTAGTGAGTTGGTCGTACTGTTTGGGAACAGTACCTCATTAAATACTAAAGGTAGAGAATTTTTTACAAAACTTTTCTTTCCATTTCAATTTTACAATTTAAAAGTGCCTGAGTTGATGCATTCTACCACCAAATTTGTATTTTTGATTTATCATAAGTCTTAACTATTGCGAACGATGACAATTCTTTGTCATACGTTCATTCAATTTCACTAAATGCATTTTAAATCAGAAATTAGAATTTTAAATTAGTTGATGTTCAGTACTGTACACAGCAATGCTATTTGTAGTGTATAGCAGTTTACCAAAAATACCTAAAGAAGGCGGGTTAATTTTATGCAAAGTGATCATACCATACCTATTAAGAGACTGATACAATAAAACTTCAATAATCTTTGAGAAACACTAACCATTTTGAACACTAAGCACAATGACAGAAAGCTTCTCTAGTAGGCTGATGAGAAAGATGAAAATTATCAATTATTATCTACTGATAGAATGTCATGTGGAAAAGTGACTTCCTCACATGATAAAAATATCGCAAGTCTAACCACATCGCCCTCGCCTAAATTTTTTTGGAAGCGAATCCGCATATTAGTACGTCGGGTAGGTACATGGCTAGAATGGGGAAAATACTGCACTTTTTGATTGGAATATGCCACTTTCTGTGGTAATAGTTAATACCAAAAGGCAACTTTTGAAATAGGGAGCCACTCGAAAATCCGTGCAGGAAAGCAAAATGGTGGCCGTCAAAATGGCGCCATTAGCCGCAATATATTTTTTTGTATCTCTGCTCCTAATAGTCCGATTTTAATTTTCTTTTTTTTTGTAGCTCAATTTTAAAAAATTGTTTTTTTTACGAATTTGAATCACAAGTAAGCTCTTAATTGTGCAATATCCCGGTCTTTTCGACAAAAAAGGTCATCGTTTAGAAATTCAATCGATACAACCCCAAAACTCCTTGTATCTACCCTGCAAGTTCGGAAAATTTCAATCCGCCATGTTTTTTTTTTTAAATGCGCAATATTTGTTTCATCAGGCACGAGATCAAGCATTATGAAAATTGAAAGGAAAGGCCTCGTCAATTTTTTTCTCTGAAAAACAGAAAATACACTCTGCTTTTAAAGTAATTAAAGAAACACTCAGTATATCAACTTTAATTAACTCTTACTCTCGTTCTTACTTATCCTATTTTATTTAACTAGTGGTTTAAGGTACGACGAATGTGAAATTTGGAGTGCTTATTTATCAGATCATGGGTTTTTTCGAGGGTTTTCTCTCGGATTTTCTTTAAGAATATTAACGGAATATTATGATTTCCAAGTTTTAGATACCTATTCATATAAGTTGAATCATTTTTATTATACAGGGAATCCACCTTCTGTAAGCGGACGATAGAGCCTCAATGGTTGAGATTAATGGTAACGGTTTGTT